ATGCCTCTATTTTTTTCATTAATGTCTCTGTAAGGGTCCAGCTCTCCATACCATACAGCAATGTGGAGAATATGTAGCAGCGTATTAATCTGATTTTAAAATTTAACGTAATATCTCTATTAATTAGAATTGTCTTTAATTTATAGAAGGCTGCTCTGAATTTTCCAATGCGTATTCTTATTTCTTTATTTATATTCCAGTTATCGTTAACGTTTGCACCTAAGTAGGTAATATTGTAGACTCTTTCTAACTCTATTCCATATGCTCTGATGTTCGTTGGTTGTAATTACGTTTTGCCGACAACCTTAAGTTTTGTCTTAGAAGTATTAAGTTTTTGCCCATATTCATCATATGCTTCGGTTACCCAGTTTATAAGTCGATGCAGGTCTTCTTCATTGGAGGCAATAAGTACCGTGTCGTCTGCATATATGAGATTGTTGACATTAATTCCGTTGATTTTAATGCCTGTATCTTTAACTTCCTTGAAAATAAATTCGTAGTAGATATTAAAAAGTAGAGGAGATAGAATACATTCTTGCCTCACTCCACGTCTTATTTCCACTGCTTCCGTCGTGTTGTGTCCAGCTCGTATGTTTGCACATTGATGCAAATACACATTTTTGATAATACGGAGGTCTCGGTCATCAATTACCACCTGTTGCAAGACACCTATAAGTTTGTCATGGTTTACTCGGTCAAAATCCTTTTCGAAGTCGATAAAACACATATATACTGATTGTTCTATATCCCTACATCTTTCAACCATGATCTGTAAACTGAAGAGTGCTTCTCTGGTTCCAAGGTTGATTCTGAAAGCAAATTGTGTTTCACTTAGTTGTACTTCTATTTTGTTGTAAACTCTCGAGTGCAGTATTCTTAGGAAAATTTTCAGTACATGACTCATCAGACTGATAGTGCGATGATCGCTACGCTACACTGTTTGGCATTTTTTTATTCGGTGTCATTACAAATGTTGACAGTAGCCAGTCTGTTGGTATAGTTTCGTATATTTTATTAAAGAGGCTTAGAAGAGAATGTTTGTCCTTATCGTCAAGCAGTTTGATTATTTCGCTTGGAATTTCATCTGGATCGGTTGCTTTCCTATTCTTTGATAGCTTTATAGCTCTTTCGTTTGGACCAGTCGAAATATTTCTGATTTGAATTTCTGTTCTATCGTCATCAAACAGCTCCTTAATATATTCTTTCCGCCTCTAATCTGTCTTGGTCATTGACTATAATATTTTCTTGCTTATCAAGTAAACTACTTGCAGTTGATCTATATGTTCCAGTTATTTCTTTCAGCTTTTTGTACATATTAAACGTGTCATTATTTTTCTTCTTCTACTTCTTTGGGTGCCTCTCCTATCGTTGATTGGATATCATTATGACGATTCTAATTTTATTTACTGCTGTTTTGAATAATTCGTTAGTGGTACAGCCAAACCACTCTCCTAAATTTCTCATCCAGGACATTCTTCTACGGCCTGGATTTCTGCGTCCTTGGATTTTTCCTTACATTATATTTTGTAGGAATGTGTACTTTTGTCTCCTCATCAGGTAGCCTAAGTATTCATGTTTTCTCTTTTTTATATGCAGTATAACTTCTGGATCGCTATTTATTCTGCGTATTACCTCTTCATTTGTAATTTTATCCACCCAACTTATTTTTAGTATACGGCGATAGCACCACATTCTTTTTTTGCAGTTCTTATATTTCAAGACATTTGTTGCTGTACCATTTTTTCTTTGCATCCCCTGATGCAAATTTATTGTATTCTTCAGTGTTTTTATTTTTCTGTTTTCGCCTGCTTTCCATTAGTCCCAATATTTCATCACTCATCCAATATTGTTTGCGATTATTAATAGTTTTATACTTTTTATTTGTTTCTTGCTAATACTTTTGACATGATTCCAGTGGTCTTCGACGATATGTCTTTCTTTCGACGTTTCGAACTTCTTTTTTATCTCTTGTGTAATTTCATGACTATTATTTTGGATACAGTCAGTGTTTATTCGGTTAGTCGGTTGTTGGCGATTTCAAGTTTGAGTTTTATGTCACTGATTAATAAGTTATGATCTGAAACGACATCGGCTCCAGGTAGTGTTTTAGTTATTTTGATTGAATTTCGATGCCACTCCTCTGTCATTACGTTGTTCAAGTCCAAAATTCTCTACAATATTTCCTTGTCTACCTTTTCCTACTTTGAAGTCCCCCATTATTATAGTATTGCCTTTATGTTTTTTGCTGACTCATTACCTTCTTTATACCATCATCAAAACTCTCTATGTCACCTTCACTACTGCTGGCTGTGGGCGCATAAACTTGGACCAGATTTATATCTACTGGTTTTGAGTTTAATTGCATCACGATGACTCTGTCCGAAATGTAACTTACAAATTTAATACAGGAAGAGATTTTTTATGTACAATTAATGCGATGCCATTTCGGTGGTTAGTGCCTTCTTCTCCGGAATAGAATACATCGTGGTTGTCTATGTTACATTTATCAGTCCCTTACCACCGCATTTCGCTTATCCCAAGAACTGGTATATTGAGCCTAATCATCTCACGTATGGTGTTTTGTATCTTACCAGGCTCGTAGAGACTTCTCACATTTCATGTGACTATTCTGATACCTGATTTTATTTTGATTTATTTTCCTTTATCACAGGGATTTCGCTGGATAACGGCCTGGGAAGCCCTGTGTGCTTGTCTTTTCCTGCTGGATCTTGGTGTCCGATGACCATGATTAGTATATCATTTTTTATCATATGATAGTGCCATTATGATTGAACTAGGGCATAATAATGGGGTAGTTTCCCGTTGTCTTCCCCATCGCAGTATTACAACGATTTGAACTGCTCCATTTGTGCTTGTGATAGCCCAGTTTGAAACCGATCCAGGATTATTTCCTCTACGCCTTGAGCTAGTACTGATGATCGCTGCTGCCCTTCATCACATATAGTGATTCTATATAATCCTTAAAATCAAGGGATTGCCACTTCCTCCATTTACACCGTACCAAAGGAATTCTACCCTTGTGGACTTTATCCTTGTGACCCTGGACAAGGGATCCTAAACAGGTACTAGTTTCCGGGTCAGGAAAAACCTGAAATCTGCTTTAACAATAAAATATCAAAAACATAAACAGTTGCATTATAAAATATAATTTTACTGTACGATAACATTTTGTATTTTGTAGTTCGTTCTTATGCAAGTAGCCAAGCACATTAATAAATACTATACAAACTAATAAATAAAAAAAAATATTATCTAAAAGAACACTTTGTGTAATAAATAATTTCTTTGTAAGGTGAAACGGGCGATTTCATCAACTGTACATTGCTTATTAACCGCCAGTCTAAAATCCCAACATTTCAGTGTACCTAAGAGTATTAAACCGCCTCAGCATTTTGATAGAAATTTATTCTCTTTTATTTCTACTTCGTAATAACTCAACGGATCCATATAGCCACACGAAGAATTTTTACGATGTTAACAGTATATGTTTTTTATATCGATCCGTACCTTATTCTCTCATATTTTGGGATGAAAATTTCCTATAATCGAACGATAAAAAAATACAGTCTTCACTCGGATAGATTACAGGTTTGGATATCACCTGCGGCGACGAATCAATACAGTCCGGTCCATTTACATATTTATGAGTAACCAAAGTTCTACTTAGATGAAACATGCTGATTTTTGATTTGTTGCACTTTGCACGACTCTTTGGTGAATTATGGAAACACATTTTACGTCCAAATTTTAGTAATTATATTGGCAACACGCAAACGTTTTGATGTTTGACATTAAATGAGAGTCTGTTTGACATACAGAGTGATAGATGATGGATTTAACCAATAGTGGTTGAAAATTTATTTTATAAAATATAAAAGCTATATAAAAATTATTACAATAAGTATTTAAAGACAAAAGACAACTTCAAAAAGTTCTATAACTTGAAAACATTGAAAACGAGAATAACACTATGTAATATTTCACAAAAAACTTTTTACTTGCAACGTTTTCACAAATAAGCATATGACTTACCCCCTTTGTAACTGAAGATAATAAAAGATTCTTCAAACTTGAATTGTGCTAGGAGCTGATAGGAAGTTGATGAATCCGGAAGCACATCAGCTAAGACCTTATCTGTGAGTAGATTTTTGTAAAAGTCTCACAGTGATTCTGGTATGTAAGGCAGTAAGTCTATGAGGTGTTTTTGTTTGTATCGTTATTGACACAGGCTTGTTATATGCTTCCTTTAGTAACAAATTTGTAGCTGCTTTTGCCCTCTTTTCTAAATCTACGGTCCTTAAAGGTTCTTCTTTGTCAAAGGACAACTTGTATTGAAACTGTTTAGATTTTTCATACCGTAACCATCGAAACTGTCTCCAGTTTATCTTGTTATTCTGAGTATCCGTTTTTTGGTTAACTAGTACAAAATTAAATAAGTTACCAAAATCACCAAAATCACTAAAACACAGAGCGCTGCATTTCATCATCATCATTGGTGCTACAGCCCTATAAAAGAGCCTCGACCTTCCCAAGTCTACTACGCCAGTCAGTTCTATCCATTGCCAACTGTTGCCTGTTGGCTGCGCCTATTTTTCTATCATCCTCATCTACACTATCCTTGCATCTGATTCTTGGCCTACCCCTACTTCTACTTCCCACAGGTTGTGACCCATATTTTTTAAAACATTTGACAAGGTGGTATACATTTCTTCTAGTTTGCGTGTTGTGCGGGCAACTAGGTCAAGATCATCTGCATATGCTAAAATTTGGGATGATTTATTAAAAATGTTTCCTCGGTTGTCTATTTGGAAGCTACAAATTTCCGCCCCTAAGAATATGGACCAGTTATAAGAACATATAAAAAACTGTTTACACGAAGCAGCATGTGAAGCAATGGGATACTAAATAAAACCTAAGGTAAACAAACCATACTGGTGGGATAACGAAATAGGGGAAGAAACAAAATAGAAAATACAACTATGCCAACAATATTTGAAGCTCCAAATCAAGACAAAATAAAATATAAAGAAAAACAAGCAGAAGTACGAAGAAAAATCTCTAAGAAGAAGAACTTATCTAGGAGGAAACAGAAGCATAGAAAACTGGAAACTGATAAAAAATTGAGAAAAGAAAAGAATAAAGAAGTAATATACAACCTGAAGACTGGCAAGAGTATTTCAAAAAACTTTTGGTAGAAAATAGAGTCGAACTTCAAGAACATACAAATCAAAACTAAGATCAAATTTCAATAGTCGGCTCGCCAATAAGATTAACAACAAAGGAAAGTAAAATGTATGTAAACAGCTGAAGAGGAAGAAACACCGGGACCAGGGAATTCACCCGGAGAATTGTTTAAGAACGGAACGAACATATTATACGAATATCTTCGACAACATCTTCAAGAATGCATAAACACAAGCGAAATCTCTACGGAATGGACGATATCATACCTCACTACTATATATAAAAAGCGTGATAAAAATAATTGTGAAAATTACCGAGGAATACCTGTAATCGGTTCTATGAGTCGAAAATATATATTATAAATGCTTCTTTAAATACTGGTGTTTTTCCCAATATGCTGAAAACTTCTGTCATTTCATCAGTATTAAAACAAGGTGATCCTGAATTAATGTCAAATTTTCGACCATTGTCTGTTCCATCTGTAATATCTAAGATTATTGAATATGCAATGCTAAAACAACTTTTATTATGTTTAGATATCAACCAAATTATCACAAAGCATCAACATGGATTTCGAAATAAATTTTCTACTTCCACAGCCATTAACAGTTTTTATGAGGAAGTCTTACTCCCAATTGAGAACAGTGAAAATCCAACTGCCATTTTTTGTGATCTCAGACGTGCATTTGATTGTGTACAACACGATGTACTCCTCGATAGATTGTACAGATATGGTGTTAGGGGAGTTGCCCATAGTTGGTTTGGTTCCTATCTGAAAGACCGGCACCAAATAGTTAAAATGAAAAATAACTTCAAGATTTCAATGTCTGATCCGATTATTAATAAGAATGGAGTAGCACAGGGCTCCATATTGGGCCCTATATTATTTATTTTGTATATTAATGAACTACCAGATGTAATGTCTGATGCTTTTGTATCAGTTTATGCGGATGACTCAACAATGCTATATCGCGAAAAAGACATAAATTTTTTACAAGATAAAATAACAAACTCACTGAAGACCTTCTCTGATTGGTCCAGTAATCAGTCGCTCCTGTTCAATGTTCATAAAACTAAATTTTTATCATTTACATCACGTTCAAATTCTACTAAACCTGATTTAAGTATTTCCATCAATAGTGAGGATATTTTGAGTTGTAGTGATGTGAAGTTTTTAGGAGTGACTTTTGACTCCCATTTATCTTTTAAGACTCATTGTTGGAATGTATGTAAAAAACTCAATTCTAAATGTTATCAATTGATAAATTTGGGTAGAATACTTAGTCTGCAACACCTTCGTCTTTTTTATTTTGCTGAGGTACAATCGACAATAAGTTACGGTATAACTGTCTGTAAATTGCAAAAGTAAACTGTAAACTGATGCAAAAGCGTATTGTCAGATGTATAGCAGGTGTTCCGTATGGTTGGTCTTGTAAAAACCTATTTAGAGATTTGAATATATTAACAGTGTATGGAATTTACATTTTGGAATTATTGATACTAATGCATAAAAATAAAAGAACTTTTTTATGTAACAGTGATATTCACTCGCACAACACAAGAAATAAGAGACAGTTTGTAATACCCTATAGACATTTAGAAATAAGCAGAAAGTCATCTACTATCTGTGGTTTACTACTGTATAATCAACTTCCTCAAAAATTTTAAAATCATTAATTCAACTACAGCTTTTAAAAAACCAAGTCAAAGAGTACCTAGTGACCATGTGTCCTTATACATTAGGTGAATATTACGAGGGTGTATCTGTGAATGCCTAAGCTGCAACATAAAAAAATTTATTATTATTTTAATTATATATCTATATGGTACGTTTTTTAAGTATTTTAATGTTTTAAATATTTTTAATGTATTGTTTCCTTTTTTTTTGTAATATTTAATATTTATAATTTTAGTTTTGACTTGCTATAAACCTAGTTGTAACTTACAGTCAAATAAACTATCTATCTATCTATATGGAAAGATTTTAAGTTTGCAAAGCAAATTAAAAACCACTCCTTTTAGACCATGCTATAAATTTATCTAGTTGATCTTGTAGTAGTTTGGCCATACTCTGTATATTGTTTCCATTTAAAAATATTATAAGATCATCCGCGTACAATCTCGTTTGAATGGGTTTGTTCATTGATGTGATTACATCATTAATAGCTATAAAAAGGATTGAAGATAAATGCTGGAAAAACTAAATGCATAGCAATAAGAACAAACGCACTTTTAAGAATACAACTGCAAGTAGATAGTGCTTCAATAGATCAAGTAAAAACATTTAAATACTTGGAAATGATGATGAATGACCAATGGGATCCTCAACAAGAAATAAAATGCCGTACCGAACAAGCAAGACAAACTTTTATCAAATTTAAACCACTACTTCTTCTTCCCTATCTTTTGCAATTCTCATCCACTACTTTACAGCTACAGCAGTTATATCGTCTATCCATTTTTTTTTAGGTCTTCCCACGCTTTTTTTTGTTTCTCGAGGTCTCCAGAATGTCACTTTATGAGACCATCTGTTGGTGTCTTGTCTTGCTACATGTGCTACCCATTGCCATCTCAATGTCGCTATTTTTCCCATGATGTCGGTTACTTTAGTTCTTCGACGTATTTCGGTGTTAGGAACTTTGTCTCTGAGGTTTATATTTAACATGGCCCTCTCCATGGCCCGTTGAGTTACTCTTAATTGTTTTGCCATTTTTCTTGTTATTGCCATAGTTTCCAATCCATAAGTTGCAACTGGTAGTATAAACCGCTACTATGTAACCGCAATCTTTCCTTCAATCTGCGCTACAGGATGGTTAAATGCTATGTATGGTCCATATTGTTAAAGGTATGGAAACGTGGACGTTAAGAGTACCTTCCATTAATAAGTTGGAGGACTTCGAAATCTGGACGTTGCGAAGAAATGTGTGAAGAGTGGCAGATAAGGTGAGAAACGAGGAAGCCTTAAGAAAGGCAAATACTGGAAGAGAAGTACTCAATTTGATCAAGATACGAAAAATTGGATACCTCGACCATATTCTGAGAGAAAAAAATACGCAATTCCTCAACTTATCATCCAGGGACAGATTGAAGGCAAGAGAGGAGTAAGTTGTTAACAAATGTCGTGGCTACGGAACATAAAAAACTGGACAGGCATACATAACACTGGCGATTTTTTGCATGCCGCTAAAGACAGACGTCTGGCCTTAAGATAATTCGCCAACTTCGCTGATTCGACGAAGAAGAGCTATAAGAAAAAGCGTCGGGCTGATTACCGAGCCTGGGGATGTACAATTTTTTTGATATCTCACATTAGATGCAGTTTTTCTTGATTTATCAAAATTTTAGTTCTTAGAGAAGTGTTGTTTTTAATAAAGGTATCAATTATAAAACTCTAATTTTCATGGATGACTCCAGAAATCCTTCACTTAATGGAACGCAGAAGGTTAATTAAGGGAAATAAAGAAGAGTATAAAAAAATGCAGGCTTACATCAGAAGAAAAATAAGAGAAGCTAAAGAAAAAGAAGCTGTAGAGAAATGTAAAGAAATAGAAAGACTACGAGCCAAGCATGACAATTTTAATGTACACAAAAAGGTAAAAGAAATAACGGGTACTTTTAAAAAGCGAACACAAATGAAACTCATAGACACCAATGTAAAATTAATCATTGACACCCAAGAGATGAAAAACAAATGAAGAAAATATTTGGAGACACTTTTTCAAGATCAAAGAACGGATTATAGGCATCCATTTTCAGAGAGGATGACGGGCCCGGACATACTTAAATCTGAGGTAGAAGAAGTAATGAAACGGATGAAAAGCAGGAAAGCTGTAGGGCCTGATAATATCGAAGCTGAATTTTTTAAACTCTTGGAGGAAGAAGGAATAATTTGGATCACGGCTGCCTTCAATAAAATATACAATACAGGAATCATCCCTGATAAATGGCTAGAATCAGAATTCATAGCGATACCTAAAAAACAGGGGGCTAAAAAGTGCGAAGAATATCGAACAATCAGCCTAATGAGCCACATGTTGAAACTGTTTCTTCGAATCATCCATGGAAGAATTTATAAGAAGTGCGAGGAACAAATATCGGACAGACAGTTCGGCTCCATTAACGCAGTGGGTATTAGAGAGGCACTTTTCGGAGTACAGGTACTGATTGAAAGATGCAGGGACGTTAACTGCGACGTATACGCGTGCTTGATCGACTATGAAAAGGTATTTGACAGAGTTCAACATCAAAAGATGATAAACATTTTAAAAGAGGCAGACCTGGATAACAAAGACCTCAGAATAATTTCAGAACTCTACTGGAATCAGACCGCATACATGAAAATTAACGGAGAAGAAACAGATCACATAAAAATACTACGTGGAGTTAGATAGGGATGTCTCCTATCGCCGTTGATATTTAATATGTACTCAGAGAAAATTTTTAACGAGGCTCTTTACGGAATAGACGAAGGCATCCTTCTAAATGGTGAAAGAGTAAACAATGTTAGATATGCCGACGACACCATGGTGATAGCAGATAGTTTAGAGGGACTTCTGAGGCTAATGGACAGAATAAACGAGTACAGTCAACGGTACGGACTAAACATTAATACCCACAAATCGAAACAAATGATTATCAGCAAGGAGAATATAAACGGGGCTCATCTATACAATAATGGCACACAGATAGAGCGAGTAAAATAGTATTGTTACCTGGGAACTATTATTAACGAACAGTGGAGCAATTTACAGGAAATAAAGTGCCGCATAGGAAAGGCAAGAACGGTCTTTAACAAAATGAGCGCCATCTTCAAAAGTCATAACATATCCCTTGATACAAAAATGAGACATTTGAGATGCTATGTTTTCTCTGTGTTGCTGTACGGGGCGGAGTCATGGACACGTACAGACACCACTATTAAAAAACTTCATCATGGACAGCAAGGATCACGAACAAGGAAGTTCTAGGAAAAATGAAGAAGGAACCAG